AAATAATAGAAATTTTATTAATAGTATTATGACGATGAATCTAAGCACTAGTAAAATTAAGAAGATTCCATCTACCATCAACAATAACATCCTTTAACAAAACAAACTTTATGAAGATTAAACCAATTAAAATTAATTTCACCATAATGTTATTTAGGAGAAAAATCATTAAACTATGAATCATGAAAAATGATACATGATCATCATAATTGACTTGAAATTTTAAATAAATCCTTATCTTATGAGAAATTTAAATAAAATCTTTCCAAAATTAAGTAGATGAAGCATAAGATTTATTCTAAATGGAGACTTAATGATTAAAACACCATTTAAAGAGGTAAAAACTATCATTATAAAAAATCCATAAAATTCTAAAATTACACCAGACCTTAATATTATCCAAAGAAAGGATACAAAGGCCACCAAAATATTTAGGCACAGTAATAGTAATCCAAGAAAAGGTATGAAGCCTTTTATTGTTATCATTATTGAGGAAAAATTATAAATTATGACAGCAATTTTTTTTTCAAACTTTTTGTTAAAACAGTAGATTGAAAGTAATAATGTAAATAACTTGAAATAATAAACTTAATAATCTACCACAACAAATAAAAACTTTTACTTCCAACTAGTCAATCACTTATAAAATTTATCAATAAGAGGATGATAATCAGACATTACCAATTTAGAGGGCTTAATAATGACCCCTAAATAATTCCAGGGTAAAGGTTTAAGAGTAAAGCTACAAAAATTTCAAATTTTTTTTTCAATAAAATCATTTATATTTTTAGAAATGCTAATGACAAATTTAGTTATCAAAAGGATTAGATGATTTATCAGAATTATTTCATATTTTAATAAAAAGAGAAATGATATATAAATCAACTTTTCCAAAAACAAGATATCATCAACATAAATTAAATCAAAAAAATTATTATCAGAGTTACCACCCTTAAGATGAGAATTAATAGAAATGGAAAGAACATCTATGATAATAACAAAAAACTAAGGAGAAAAAGGACAACCAAAGGAAGATAAAAATTACACACAAAGTTCAATAATGATAATAAAATAAAATTTAACATCCTTAGTGTGAGAAATAATCCAGGTAATGAACTTTTGAGAAAATCCAAGTTTTCTCATTCTATCATATAGAAAGAATATATCAATTTTATCAAAAAGCCTTCGAAATATCAACCTTAGCACAATTTTTTTTTTTGTAGAATTTCTAGAATTAAAACCATAAAAGTAATTTATTAACCAAAATAATGTTATAAGCAATATCATGACCTTTAATAAAACAGGCTTAAGCAGGATGGATGAGATTAGAAATAACAACTTTAAGTCTTTTAGTTAAACGAAAGACAATGACCTTATGGTAAGCATTGCATAAGGAAATATGTCTATACTCAATAAGGAATTTATCATTAGATTGTTTAGAGAAACTCATAATAGTAGTATGTTTAACTTTATAAGAAATAGTGGAAGCAATAAATAAATATTTAATATCAGCAAAACAACCATAACTAATGATATGCATGCAATCTTTAAAGAGAATAGAGGAAAACTATCAGGCCCATTGGCTTTATCAGAGACAATAAAATAAAAAATATTTTTAATATCATTACCAGTGAATGATTGAATCAAAAAGGAAGAATCTTCAACAGAGACAAAATGATCTATAAGAAAAGATGAGTATCATCAATCTCATTATGACCATTCAAAAGACTAAAATAATAAGAGATAACTTCATTTACAATATCTTCTTTTCTTTGAATAGACTTACCATTAACTAATTTTTTTTAATAGAATTAGATTATATCTCGTATTGGCCATTTGATAAAGATATTTAATATCATCTTCACCTTTGAAAATTCAAGCAAATTTATCTCTCAATAGTACTTTTTTTTAATAGAAGAAACTTGTTTAAGAAAATCAGCTAAAAGATGCAAATATTCCAAATTTGCCATAATTAAATTATGTTTTTCCTTAAGATCGGAGATATGCATAGAAAGGGTATTATAAGAATTTCAATTCCAACATTTAAGAGAAATTTTAACATTATGAAGCTTAATGAAAACAACAAAAATTGTATTCCCATTAACTTGAATATTCCAAGCCTTGGTAATGATAGAAAAGAAAATCAGATGTAAACTCAAAAAATTCTTATACAAAATATGCAATGTAAATTATTGGAATAGCCCAAAAAGATAGTAATAGAATGATAATCAAAAGAATTGGCATTTAAAATTTTATAAAACGAACTATTATCAATAAGAATTACATAAAAAACTCTATCAAAAAGACACCTTATAGGATTGTTCAATTGATTATTGAACCAACTATTAGTATATCCAAAATTATGAAGCTTAATAAGACTAGTAGAGAAAATGCAATTATTAAAATCCACAAGCTTACTAGGCAAAAGAGACAAACCTCTAACTTCTCTTTTAATCTAAGAAAACAATTAAAATCTCCAAAAAAAAAGCCAAGAAACATGCATATTATCAACAATAGTAATAAATAGAAATCCAAAGAGATTTTCTATTAGTAGCACTATTATCAATGTAAATGTTAGAAATATCAAAATTAATAGAAGAACAATAAGCAACATACCCAAGATTAAATTAAGAATTAACTTGGATAACAAAAAAAATTAAAAGTATTCTTAATCTATTTAATCAAAATTCTACCATGATCAGAAATATTAAAATTATCACAATTTCCTTCATTATGAAAGAACTTTAAATCGTTTAAAGAAATAGGATCTTTAATAACAACATTAAAAACTTGTCACTGTGATTCAATATTACTATTGTAGGACTCTAATATATTAGAGCTCTTTAAATATCTACTTAGTGGATGAGGTTCTTAATTGAATAAGCTATAAAAATGTAAATCATAAATATAAAAATAATCACAACCATAACATAACAAAGTGAAATCATAGTAACTACAACATACCAAATTATAATTTTGATGCTTGATAGAATAATCATAACAACTATAACATAGTCAACTATAATTTGATATATCAAAGTACAATCATAATAGCTATAATATATTAAAATTGAATGCCTCATGCTATTTTTTAAAAGAGTATTCCAATTACTTAATACTAATGAAGCTAATATCTTGTTATTAAATTGTTTTTTTTTCAAGCATAGCATTTAGGATACTCACTGTAAATTTAGCCTCACATTTTGAGAATTATGAAATGCTTCTTTAATGAGTCAATTATCCCTTCCACAAAATATCAAAACATTATATAATAATTTTATCCATTAAACCCTATTTTTTATTTGCGATTTAGGCCGTCTAATGTCTCTCTACGTATAAGCACTATGTTAAGTGTTTGCATCATATAGTGCTAAAATTTGACCTCATATCTTAAAAGTTTGAATCAATTTATAATTAGCACAAACCAAAAGAGTATAATTTGAACAATATTCAAACTAGTGTTAAACCATGTTTCAAATTTAGTTTGACTAATGTTTAAGCATGATTTAAATAAGGTTTAAATATGGTTACAACCATTAATGCCACATCTAATGTGTTTTAAGATTTTTGTTTTAGTATGCATAGAATTCTGAAACTTCTGATGTAGTTAGGACCTTATGTATTTTATAAATATAAGCTTGTTTGTTAATATCATAAGTTAAAATTATAGATCTATGAAGAATATATTCAAACTTAAATATTTAAGCATATGACATCTCTGACTGTAAATAAAAGATAGTTGTAACACAAAAAAAATTCTTGCAAAATCTTATTCTAGGTTGATCTCATGAACTCTTAAGACATTCAAAATAGAAGGTGATGGAAAGAATGATATTTAAGGGACTCTTTGTTTATATTGAACTGCAATTTTTTTACAAGGATTTAAAGAATTTATGCGTGTGGTATGAAGAATTACAATGTAAATTATGAATGAATTTGAAGTTCAGATCTTAGTTCATTTTGACTTAATTTAGAATTATATCGAATTTGAGCTGCATCATAAAATGCTATCGATAAGCCACAATCCACTGCCACGCATGACACTCGTCGGCGACGACGACCGCCTGGCTCCGCCATTCCCCCCCCCCCCCCGCCGCTGCCGCCTGGCTAGCTCATCAACTGCTGTTGCCAACTGTTCGCCGTCATCGCCAGATCAAAAAAAATATTTTGAAATACAATATTTTCAATCTTATTCAAATAATAGTAAAAAAAATATCACATTCATTTTATTGTGAACCAAACTTTAAAGTATTTCAAATATCTCTATAAATTGTTTATATTACTTTTTATTTAAAGCAAACTAAAAAACCCCTAAATATCTTTTCTATTTAAAACTTTATATCTCAAAATATGAGAATCATGAATTACATTTTTTATAAAGGAGTAAGTACATATAAACCACCAAAAACATTGATATTTACTAATTAAGCGTGTAGTTGGTTTTTTGAACCATTGAACATATGTAGTTATGCATGACACAATCAAATCATTGAGAATTTGATATACATATATATATATATATATATATACATACAAGACATAACTAATGGACAGGAAGATGTTTAAAATTTCTGGTAGGGATGACAGAAGATGTATATATATATAAGTTGGGGTTTTAACTGAGTTTGATGAATTAAAGAGGATGGCTAATTTGCCAATAGAAAGTTTGGGGTGGTTGATCTAAAATATGTTTTTGGGCATATATTTTTTTAAACCATGAATATTTGATAAATTATAAAATTATAGGCCATATCAATTCGAAAAAAATCATTAAAATGCATCATATACTTTAATATAAAAGCTATCATCATTTAAAAATGACTTTAGGATATAATTGACAAAGTAAGACAAAAGAAAAGGTGAAAATGACATTTGTCTACTCATGTGGATCATATAAAGCCAAGTTAACTAATAATATTTTAGTGCCATGCAAGAATAAAAAATTGTCAAAAATAAAATAATAATATTTTAGTGCCATGCCAGCTTCCACCCTTTCGTATCCCAGAGTTCGAAGGTCTCTGTGCACGTAGGTTTCGTGTTTGCGAGCCCTCTGTTGTGGAAAGGCAAGCAGGCAAAGGTGCATCAGAAATCTCTACGATGGCGTCTCGAAGTGTGGTTTCATTCTTTGGATTGGATGGGCTGTGCCTGGAACTTGCTTTTTTGCTCGTTCAATCGGGATACAAAGCCAAAGGATTCGAGGTTTGCTTATTCTTTTTCTTCATTCTTAGGGGTTCTGTTTTGTTCATTCTCCCGAATCTCATTTGGTTGCGCTGTTTTCTCTAACTTTTTGCTTTGTTACTTACGGAGTTTCCTTTTGATCGAAGCAGAGGACTGAATCGTCGGCGAGGGTTGCGTTCGTCGAGTTGGGCGGAGAAGAATGTACGAACCCATTGGAGGCGGCAAGAGGTTTGGTACTCTTTTGACTTTATTTCGCTGGGAAAATATTGGTTTCTATAATGTTTCAACCATTTTATCTTGTTTAGGCACAAGTAAAGCTTGAAGTGACGTACTTTTTCACAAATACATAATGGAATTAATATGGTTCTAAATAGCTTAGTTTTATTGACAAAATTTTGTTGTTTGGGCATAAGGAAAGCAGAAATTCTGATGCCATAGTTTAAAGATATGATTTGGTTTATGTTGGTTCTTCCTTATTTCTGAAGTTATAAAAATGTTACCTTGTGTTGATCTGTAGTTTGAAGATGAATTTGTGTAATTTTAAAGTATTTTCATGTATAACAATGATAGTCTTCCTAATTTTTATAGGCTATTTATTTCATTGCAAATACAAGTTGATTGTTATTGATTGATTTATTTATTCAAATAGACGATTATTAGGGGTGTAAACAAACCGAATACGAACGAACATAGCTCGCATTTGTGTCGATTTATTTGAAATTATTTGTGTTTGAAATAGACTCGTGTTCAAAATTGTTCGTGTAGTTACTGTTCGTGTTCAGTTCGATTTGTTAGAATTATGTTTGAAATGTTTGAAATGTTCAAATTGTTCGAATTATTCTAATTATTCGAATTGTTTGAATTATTCAAAATTTCACAAATTTGTTTGTATTGTTCGAATTGCTTAAATTGTTCAAAATTTTTTGAAAGTTTAAACCTGTATGAAATTAATGCTTAAACTTGTATGAATCACAACAAAAATGCACAATAGCCGAAACACAACTCATAACAAACCATAATATCAGATCTCATCCATGTAAAATTCAAATATAAAGGCAATATGCTAGATTTCACTCCCAAAAAGCTTAAAAAACTAGGTTTTACTCTAAGAAACTAAATAAACCTAAAAGAAATATAAGAAAATTTAAGCTAAGAGGCGGACTTGAAGATAAATATGAAATTATAAAATTTAATATAAGCTAAGAGGCGAACCTGGAGAACATATTATAATTTATAGATTTAATTTTTTAAAATATGATAAATTTTTAGAGTATATAATTATTTTTAAAATATGATGAATTTTTTATATATAATTATTTTAAATTATTTTATATAACGAACAATAACGATTCGAACACGATCGAACAAATGACTATTCGTGTTTGGTTCGTTTATAAACTGAATGAGAAAAAAATTGCTTATGTTCGACTCGTTTGCTTATTGAACGAATCAAACACGAACTTCCTGGCGAGCCGAACACAAACTATTCGTGAATAACGAGCTTTTTTGACAGCCCTAACAATTATTTTTAATATTTGTTTCTTCTTGGACGTGTCCATTTGCAACAGATGCGTCAATAGTGTTTGTGTCGTTTTCTGAAGAGGAAATGGATGATGTGTTTTTCAAGAAGGATGGTGCAGTGAAAGGTCCATGACTTATTTTCTCAAGTTATTTTATTTCTTTTATTCTAACTAATTACTAATTTGTTTCTCCATTTCTCTAGGGTTGTGTAAAGATGCAGTGATTGTTCTCCTGTCAACAGTGTCAATGAGTTATCTTCACAAGTTAAAGGAGAGTTTTGCAGGCATGCCGGACACGTTTATAGAATTTTATGTGGAAAACATAGTTTATGCTTGCTTGATTCTATATTGAAACGGTTACTATTCTTTTGCAATCAATTTCAACGTGGTTTTGACTTTCTGAATTTCATTATTAACTAGAATTGCTGGAAAAGTTGCCAAAGGGGTGTCAATCTAGAGTTTTGCAGGCATCTATGAATTATGCAAAAACATTTACCAAAAGTTTGAAGCAATGTCAGTCCTAGAATTTTTTGTGTTTTGGATAGCAAAATCATTTCTTTTTTTTCTTTTGCTGGTAACAATACATTATGCAAAAAAATGTTTACCAAACTTGCAGAGTAAATAAAGTATAAAAGATTAGTTCTAATGCTTCAAATTTATCTCAACGAAGGGCTAAGGTACATGAAACCACTAGTACATGCCCAATGATGAATGCTATTTTTACCTGTATTTTTCAAGTTGATAATTTCATAGGCAAGGGCCTGAAATTTTTTTGCATTTCCTTTCATTTGGCTAAATTGTAATTTTTTCATCAAATGGGGGCTGGCTAGGCCTGCCTTTATTTGTTACCAAATTTATGAAGACTTTTTTAGCACGTTAATTTACCATCATTAACATTGTTGAATATTAGAATATGAAAATTTTGAACTTTGCAAAAGTCTTTCCATTTCAAACCTATTGCACAATTTAGCTTGAGTCTTATTTTTCTTCCAATGGGTTGCCGATAATGAGTTTTTCATGTACATAGTAGAGAATAATTTGATGCATATCACCTTGCTTGTTTTGTCAACAAAACTAAACGAACTCAGAATTTTAAAAGAGGACACTTAAAGTTTAAATGCATATTTTTCATAAGATTTTTTTTTTCCTTCAGAGTGGATAATGATATAACTTTATTCATAGGAGCCTCACATCCTTTAACCCCATTAGCTTAATCGATAGAAAATTTAAAGAAAGATAGCTACGATCTCACTAAATTCTCAATTCTATCACAATCTAGTATCACGTGCTTCTTCAGAAACCTCCAAACTAGTTTAGTAACTTGCTTTACAACCACTTCCTCTTCTACATAAATTTTATTTTCAATTCTAGATTCATCGTATATAGATTTGCTTCCCCCTAATAATGAGTTTGATGAAACCATTGACATTAAAAGGCTTTAGGAGACTCAATATTGTACTTGGCATGCGATCTCCATGTTTTACTCACACAATAATTCTCTTCTTATTGTGCAGATGAATCAGGGATTATGCTCCTTCTTGATGCATTTGTATTTCAAGCAGTTTCTGAGGATTTCAAAGACAAGATAATTGTGAGATATTATATAAGAAAGACTAGTCCCAAAATAGTCCTCAGATCATTCATGTTCGACAAATCTAGTCCGAAGTTATTACATTTTTTCAATTTAACTCTTTGACTGTATAAAATTGATCTCAAGTGATCCCTTGGGCGGAAATTGATAGATCACAGTATACGAAATTGACTCTAATTCGATTCCTTGATCACACAAAATTGATCCCAATTCAGTGCTTGAGTTACCATTCGGGATCATTTTTGTCTATTTGAGCAATTAAATCAGAGAAAATGTGATATTATGAGATTATATTTGTCACGTACGTTGGGGGACTATTTTGGTAGTTTACTTTTTTACATATTTTCACCATATTAGTGTTTTCAAATATTTCACTATTGAAGAGTTAAACAAATGTTCTCTTTTGCAGTATGTTAGTTTTGTCTATCTGACATGTTATTGGATGTGTGAAACTTTCAGGTTGTTGCATCTGGAGACCGGGAGGCTCTTCATAAGGCACATCCTGTTTTTTCTGGTACATTATAATCATTAATAAATTATATTTGTTGAAAAAATTCTTAATTAGAAACTTAGTTGTCTAATATACTTTACTGCTTTTATGCTATGCTCGTAAAAAATATATTCATTGCTACTCTTACTGATTTGGCTGAGCTGCCTTTTCAAGTGCGTGCAAAGAGTATTGATTTTCCTTCGAATTTATTTCCATACAAATCAATATTGTGATAAGCTATTTTTTTTTTGTGAAAACAATGCAGAAGTAAAGCATCACCAAGCGAAACATTATTATTAAAACACATTAAATATTCTCTTTTTTCCCTTTTAAGATCAAATCTGACCATCGAATTATTTGAACAGCTGTAAGCCAGAAAGTTTTTGCTTTTGAGGGTGAAGTTGGCATTGCAAGGTACTTATTGTTTTCTGTCAAAATTAGAACGCACCAGGCCTCTTTGAATACTTTTTACTTTTGGAGCATGGCCTTTGAGATCATTATATAGTTGAAGTTTTACTGTTGTTTTTTGTACTGATTTCAGACCTTCGCTGCTAAATATTAGAGTTGCAACTTTTTTATGATGTGTTTTATTCTATTTTTTGCAGTAAAATTAGAGCAGTTAACTTTCTGCTTGAAGGCATTCATCTTGTTGCTTCTTTGGAAGCAATATTTCTTGGTGTTAGAGCTGGCTGTCATCCAACAATTCTCTATGACATTATTTCAAATGCTGCTGGTAGTTCATGGTAGTTCAATCATGTTTAATTTTTCTGATGCTTATAAATCATACATTACTTATTAGATCTCTAATAATGAATACCATATTACTGCATATGGTATTCATTCTATTTGCCTTTTTATTTGATAAATTATAAAACCCAAGGGCTAATATATTAGAAAGGAGTGGTACAAAAAAGGTTGGATGAGAGGGCCGAAGTAGGAACCGAAAGCACCTGGTATACAAACAACTTTTACAACTTGAACTCTAATATTGTGCGTGGAAGTTGATTTTACAGGATCTTCATGGATGCAATCCCCAAATTACTGACTGGTGATCATATCTTTACAGATTACTTGAGAACTTGCATGAAAAATACGGTACATCCATAAGCTTAATTTCTTCTCCAGCTAGATACCCACTAAATTGGACTGATGTAGCTCATTTTTATTTTGTTTATTTTATGTGTTTTTATATTGAATTTCATAATTTGTACTTTATTGGATGTAAATAATCTTCCAAATGTGTCGAGTTTCTTTGCATTTTCTTAAATATTTTGATCCTGAGGTGCTGAATAACTTTTACACATAATTACCCGTCTTTTTTTTTTAAATATCATACTAGTTCCTTCGCCATTATTATTATTCATGCCTATCATCTCAAGTGCAAGGTCAACGCTTCTAGTTATGCAGGAAATTAAAGGTAGATAATGAACTAAATGAAGGAAAATAAAATTACTATTCAAAGGATTAGGAAGATTAAGTAGAGTATCAAAAATACTGATGAAAGTATAGCAAAACATTTGCTCAAAATATGTTCATGCAGTTGTGCAGGAATTAACATAAATGAATAGAAACGAGAATTCAGAAATTATTTAAGAAAATGCAAAGAAAAAACAAATGATTGAGGTAAGCTGAAATTGTAATCACAAGGTTACATGAGAATACGTGGAGTCCATAATGATAGTTACAACAATGAAAACACACACTTATTCCCTTCTTAAAAAGTAAGACATCAAGATTATAGCAGAGAGGTGCTAGAAGAGATGAATCATGAGTGGGATCCTACACGGTGACACTTGCAATCACTATTATAATATTAGAATATTTATTAATATAGAATTTTGTATTAATTACTTTTATTTGCTTTTATTTTCTTTCATTTATTTCTTTATTATGTTTTTATTTTGTTTCCTTACTAGTATATCCTATAATGGGTATTTTTATCCCTCTTTGCATCAATAAGAAATATCTTGGGTTCTATTCTAACATGGTATCAGAGCTGGGTCCATCCATGATCGGTGATCTACCTCGGGGTACTGTTCATTTGTGTGGGGAAATCTGATCACATGGAAAGGTAAGAGGCAGTATGTAGTTGCTCGGAGTAGTGCGAAAGTCGAATTTCGATCCATGTCTCTCGGAATTTGTGAAGTTCTCTGGTTACACATTATACTCCACTAATTATGTATGACAGTCTCCGCTACCCTACAGTCGTTTTGTGATAACAAGACTGCCATAAACATTGCTCACACGCTGTCCAGCATGATTGCACCAATCATATTGAGATCGACCGTTACTTCATTAAGGAAAAGCTCGAGTCAGGGAAAATTTGTGTTCCGTTTGTGCCGTCTAGTGGCCAGCTGGCTGATATTCTCACAAAGAACATTCCTCGATCATTGTTCAATGAGTTTAAATCTAAGTTGAACATGACTGACATATATGCTTTAACTTAAGGTGGAGTATTAGAATGTTAGAATATTTATTAATCTATAATTCTGTATTAATTACTTTTATTTGGTTTTAATTCTTCTCTTTATTCCTTTATTCTATTTTTATTTTGTTTCCCTACTGATATATTCTGTAATGGGTATTCATACCCCTTTTTGGATCAATAAGAAACATCTCGGGTTCTATTCTACCAATCACCGATAAGTGGTGGGGGTTAGGGGTATGGGCAAAGAAATAAGGGAATTCTAATGGAGCCTGTGATCCACGTAAGCTGGTGGAGACAAACTACCATTGAATATATCAACGACACAAGATATTTATTGACATTGAAGCTTGAACGCGAACAAATATGTGCTAGTGATTTGAAACGGGCTCAAATGTTGTTGTACACATGGATTTGAGGAAGGAGAAGCAGCAAAAACTATGGCGGAATTCATGTGGGATAGCAAGGAGGATGAAGCAAATGCGGCGGCTAGAGGACAAGCCCAAGGGATTGGGCAACAATGACATGTGGGAGAGACCAAGGGTGTTATTGTATGCGTGGGTGCGATGAGCCATAGCTATAGTGACTAGGTGCGATGAGCCATGAAAGTGGGTGGCAGGCGTTATGAGAGGACTCCTGTGCAATGTGCGGCATAGTGCAATGGTGAACGAAACATTAATCGATTAAGTTTTGTTTTTTAGCTTATAGTTTCTATAATACTTTGATACATAATCTGATGTAGAATTTAAGGTTTAGGGTTTCTACTGCAAATTTAATATTCAGGGTAATATTTAATGAAATAAATTTTTATACTTTTTCTTGCTATTCATGCTACATATACAGAGAGTAAACATGCAACTGTTTTAGTGGAGCTGACTTTCCAACATAAATGCTTTATTACTAAGGATAATGAATAGAAAGAAAACTGAATTCAATTTACATTGAAGAATTTAAATCTCTTAATTAAATCAGGAGTAAATATGGATATTACAATAATTGAGCATGCATCTAAACGAAGCCAGATATGCATTAAATCTAAATGGCAGCTCTAGGGCAAAGAAAAGTGGTTATACCTTCCTGAAATGCTTCAAGTTTCATACTTGGGCACTGACTAGAGTCTCAGAAAGATGGATAAAACTTTAATCTACAAAACTACAAATTTATTTAGGACAATTGTTTTTACGTGTCTTATAGCATTCTTGTTTATGAATGCTTTCACTATGCACGATACGGAAAATGTTACAGTCCCGGATAAGCTGAATGTATGGTATAAATAGCTGAGTATAAGCTGAATGTGGAATAGGAATTGCAAAAGTAGCTGCAATCCTGGTTAAGCCAGTCACGAATAAAGAGCAGTATCCACTTGATAAAATGTTAACTATAAATGTTTACAAAAAATGCATAAAAAATGCATTTGAAGTTTGTTATGTTATGGTACATAATTTTTTAATTCATTGCTATAATAAGATTTGATGCATGGATGAAGTATTCCAGGCATCAGGATATGCCCTACGTTGCAATGAGACTCTAGGAGTAGAATCCCATAACTCATGTAATAGGAACCTGCATGGCAATCGAAAGGTTGACTGTAGAAATTGACATGGGCGTCTCCTGCTACAGGAACAGAAGGAAACCTCTCGTGCTCAGGTTAACGTGAATGGCATAGAGCTGAACCGAGTAGCCTGTTTTTGATTTCTTTCAAATTTTTAGTGATTGTAATCTACCTTAATCTCTAACCATTTTGTTTTAAAAGTGAACCATTGGGATTTAGGTTTTCTGCAGTGTGAAATGAATATACCAAAGAGTTGCATCTACTCTACTAGATTTTTTAAGTCAAGGCATTGACTTATCAGATCCTGAGCGGGGACTGAACTCAATGAACCGAGAAGGAAGTGTTGTTTGACTTTTTGTTTGTTTGTAGTTGTGCTCTGATTGTAACTCATCCTGGGGTGATGTGCATCTCTAGTTTCCATGCTTCCCATAGCCTTCCCTCCGCTGCTACCGTGCCGTGGTTTGCAGCACCCACTCAAAGACAACCCCTTTGCAGTTTTTCTGCAGCCGCATACTACCCAACCACCTCCCATCTTGCTGCCATCCCTTCCAGCAACCTCCCAGCTTGTTGCCACCACATCCCTGCTGGAACCACCTCACCATACCCTGCTGCCGCCCACCTTCCAGCCATCCGATAACCAATCACTGCCTTCCATTGTTACCTTCCGACCATCCAACTCTCCATACTTGCTATTTCTCTTAAAACCGTAACACCAACACTCTTAACCTAAGCCCTAGTTGGGTTTATGTTGTGTCTTGCTATTTTCTAGTTTCGAGTGTCTTTGGTTGTAATCTCTTAATTTATTTCAATAATAAAAGTTGCATTTCATTTTTATTTTGGGTGAACCCTTGTATTATTTGTTATCAGAGCCAACATAATCCTAGTCTTATCATAGTGTTTCTAGCATCCTCCCTCCCCCCCATCCACACCCAGGCCTTAACCATGCCACTGCCGGAACCAGATAAGGAATTTATCATGGATGACATTCAACATCTACTTCGCCAAGTGTTACAATGGCTTGATGCCATTGAGGGAAGGATCCAGTGTGGGATCACCGTTGACCGTACTGGTGAAATCTATAGAGGAGAGCAAGAAGACCATCTGAATCCCTTTCGTAGGGATGATTTCAATGGAGAGGAGGATCGGCCAGAGCGCTTTGGGTTATAGTATTAGAAGAGGTCCATAAATGAGGTGCATGTTGGAAGATACAAAGATGAAGTTCTTGATGAAAGATACAAAGATGAGATACCAGTTGGAAGATATAGAGATGAAGCATTTGTTGGATGAAGAAGGCGATGCAGCCTAAATTTGAAGGACCAGTTGAAAGCGGATCTATAAGAATTTCAGGGGAGAATAGATCTATATGATTTTCTCTAGTGGATGCAGATCGTTGAGCGGATCTTTGATTACTAGGAGGTGTTCGATGACAAAAGAGTGAAGCTCGCCTTCATCAAGCTAAAAAAGAATGCCTTTTTGTGGTGGGACAATCTGAAGAGGGAGAGATAGAGAGGAGGGGGCAATCATTTCATTAGAGAAAATGAAGAAGGCGATGCAACGACAATACTTACTCCTGTACTATCACCATAATATTTTCTTGAAACTTCACTATCTACAACAGAAAGAGCTATCAGTGGAGTATACGACATAATTTATGCATCTTAAGTTGAAGTGTGAGCTGAAGGAACCAGAGGAGCACATCATAATCAAGTACATATGAGGCTTGATGCCCACCATTAGTACTGTGGTCGAATTGCAAACCTATTGGACACTATGAGACATGCAGACCTTAGCATTGAAAGTGGAGGTAACAGAGTAGAGCATGCAATTACCACCAGTCAGCCATCCACCCATAGTGGGAGATCTTAGGAGAAACACGCCTCGAGGAGTGGAGTAGATTAGTTCAGAGTAGGACAAAGCAATATAAGTGAGAAGCTTGAGAAGAGTAGGACCGCCACTGCCTTCCCAACTAGGAAATGTTTCAGATGTCATGGTTTTGGATACATCATTTCTAGTTATCTTACTTGCCGAGTTGTGTCCTTCATCGAATAGTGTGCGGAGGAGGAAGTGAGTGACGAAGAGGCGGCTGAAGAACATGGTGAGTATCAATTTCCACTGTAGGAGTGCGAAATAATGGTGGTTCGACTGGTCCTGCAGATTTAGGCTTTGAGGGAGCGCAATGACTACACTACATATTCAACACCCGTTGTACTGTAAAGGGAAATGTATGCAGTCTTCTCATCATTTGTGGAGGAAGCAACAAGATTGTGGCATCTACACATATGGTGGATAAGTTGAGCCTTATGACTCAGAGGCACTCCAACCGTACTCCATGTTGTGGTTCAGAAGGAAGAACATAGTTAACATTGATAGGAAATGCCTCGTGGAGTTTTCGATTGGGAGTCAGCTGCAGGATCCGATTTGGTGCGACGTGGTGCCCATGATACCTGCCACATCTTATTGGAGAGACCATGATTGTTTGACTGTTGGACTCAGCATAACTGGTTCAGGAACACCTACTCTTTCACCAAGAATGACAAGCTCCTAGACCTCTACCTTATGTGGAGCCCGAGTTTATGGGTGCCTTTACCAGTAGAGAAGCGCCTGCAAGGTCAGTTTTGCGACGTTAGATCATAGATGAGAATGGGACAGGAGATCTAGTTTATGATACATGCCGACTATTGCAGAGAGAGTTTCGGGATTTCTTGATCGATAGTTTACCTCTATGACCACCACCTTTCAAGGAGATCCGGGCTGCCCTCGCATTAGATCAGGTTGAGCCAACATATGGTTACTTTGGGAGGATTCAATATAATATACATGATATGCAGTCCCAGTTTAATCTAGTAGCGTACCCTCAAAAGGTTGGACTGATATAGATCGCTGCTCATAAGTGGAGAAAGTCCTCCGGTGTTTTGCAAGACGGTGTAGTCGACAGTGAGATCCTGGTGTTTCTATGGTGACAGTCGAAGATTGTCAGTCCAGAGAGGTTACAACAACTCCACCATCAACACACACAAAAGCTTTGACGAATAAGTGCAAAGCTCCCCCAATCCCAGGAGATTGACACGTGCGTCTCTTGTGATAGGAACAGAAGTGGACTGCACATGCCCTGGTTCATGCGAATGACATAACTGAACCAAGTGGCCCATTTTCTATTTCTTTCTAATTTTTAGCGAGTTTTTATGTTTCCTTTATTTTCCTTAACTATATATATGTTGTACTTCTATTAGGATAGCTGTGGGCATCCCTATTTCTCTCTTGTAGGGCTGTATCTAAAGGTGAGAAGGTTCTCTAGCTGTTAGTCATCTAAAGGTGGCGTGTATATCTTGTTTTTTTGCTTCCTACAACATTCCGTCTATTGCCACTGTCATTGTGGCTTGCTGCAGCTACTCGAAAAACAAACCCCTTGCTGTTTTCCTGCAGCAGCCTACCACCCAATCACCTCCCATCTTGTTGCCATCCCTTTCAGCCACCTCGCACCTTGCTGCCTCCCTTTTCTAGCTGACTTCCTTGTTGCTGTGAGCCATCCCCACCCTTCCAACGCCCTGCCACCTCACCATACCCCGCAGCCCCCTACTTTCCAGCCATTCGACAGCCAACTGCTGCCTTCCATTGCTGCCTTCCGACCATCCATTCCTCAATACTTGCTATTTCTCTTAAAACGATAGCACCACTACCCTATACCTAAGTCCTAATTGGGTTTGTGTTGCGTTTTTTGCTCTTTCCTAGTATCGAGTGTCTTTGGTTGTAATCTCTATTTGATTTTTGTAATGAAATTTGAATTTTCATTGTCATTTGGAGAGTGGTTAACTCCGGTATCCGAAACTCTGAATGCTCCTATGTACTTTTGTGCTAAAATTTAAAAACTTAGATCTAGACACGATTCATAATGCTAAGATATTCTGTAATGATGGGCAATTATGTGGTAAAAGTTAAAAAGTTTAGTAATTAAGGTAAGGAGTCATAAGGTTGACCTCTTTCTGTAATAGCATTTTTTCTCTGCTGTTTTTTTGTGCCTAATTTCAATAAAACTGCTTTGTTCACTGTTGATATGCATATAACCGTGGACCACTTAGTCCCACCCATGGTTTAGAAAATTGTGGGTCTGTTGCTACATTTGAGGGGGAGAAATTTTCTCCCTTAATTATCCATTATTGTTTTTTTTTATTTCATTCCTTCTTGTCATGATGATTTGAATTTCCCTTCTATCGTATAAGAGTTAGTCTTAGCTGTATATATATTTGTTATTTGTTTGTATTAACTTAATGAGAAAATTAAAGAGTTTCTCCTCTTAAGAAAGTTCCTCCTAAATTCCACATTCACGTTGCTCTTGATGTATTAATTTTGATATGCAAGGTACAGATGCAAATTTGAATTAGAGTATTAATATAGCAACTGTATTGTCAAAGTCGCCATGCATATGTTCATAGGTGCACTCTTAACATGTATACATTTCACGGTACTATTCACAGGCTTTGGTTACCATCCAGCTTAATCTTTTTGATAATCATTTAAATAATAAAAATGCGCTAAGCTCAGCATTTATGTGGCTCTTTATTCTTTTCTTCTTGCACATGTAATGTATAATTACACTGTTGGCTTTGTGCCTGAGTATGGAGCATTTTCTTTCTTTCTCTGATCATTCTTGGTGCGACATTCAAGGAATTTGTGATGGATTTGGCCAATAAACTCTTCTTTCCGCTCCCAGTGCTAGCAATGGCATTTCAAGGATTAATAAATGGTAACAATTATATCGAGAAACATTCCTTTAAAGTAACCGGCTACCAGTTTTTTTAATAATCCTGCATTGAAAACCTTCTCATTCTTATGGCTCCAACTTTCAGGTTCAATTGGAGATAAAGAAGGCGCTTCTGCATCTTCAGAGGTCAGTTTTTTTCCCCCTCAAATTGATGGCTGTGGTCTTATAGGATTTCAATTTTATTTACTCGATGAATCTTTAAGACTGTTTGATCATTAGTGAGTGTTTAAAATCATAATGGTAACTTTTTTTTCTTGATTAGAATTGGGAAAAAACATTTGGTTTGAATTTGCGGGAAGTCGCCAAGGAGCAGTCTTACAACCCTGTGGAGTTGGCCAATGATCTTGTTACCATGCCAAAAGTCTTACAAAGAATAGGTTTCATTGGTCTTGGAGCTATGGGATTTGGCATGGCATCCTGCCTCTTGAAATCAAACTTCCCTGTTCATGCATATGATGTATCTTCTCATACATCCAAGCTACTGCCTTTTTAACTGATCATTACTTTATTTTTTATTTGACATGCTTATGCTGATGTTGATAAAGCTAATATTAACTTTGATAAATTTGCTTATGATCTTATGTTTGCTCTTACGTGCTTTATATTGAAAGCATTTTATTTGCAATGGAAATATGCTGTGAAAGAAAATCGAATAAAATAACACTTGTTCTTTTGAAAATTTGAAGCATTTGCTCTGGTGAGAGCATGTTGATTCTGATTACATCTGCCATCACTAACTGGATCGTGGTAGAATGGACATTTTACTTCTTTAAGTGCATTAGTTGATGATAAAAACAACTATTGGGTCCATATTTATGTTTTATATTTGTGTTATTTCTTGAGCATTATGATCGTAAAAAATTTTACCTAATTTTCTAAGAAATGTACTATATTGACAATATTGTTCAACAAGAGGATTTCATTGTTAGTATTTTCAAAGCTAATTGTTTTGTCTTGATTTGATAAAAAATATTGTAGGTAATATAGGTGGATTTCGCTATTGGTTTTGTTATATGGATTTAGGTGTTGAGAAAGGAGCAATTAATACTCATGTTGGGTGTGACAAAATGAGAATTTGAGGATGGATGTTTTGTGAAACTTTTTAGGTACTCAGAACTCATTAATAAAGTGAGGTCATAAAGTATTTATGGAAGGATTGTAAGATGGACCGAAGATAAAATTAGCTATAAGTTGTGAGAAATATGTGTGGAATAAAGTTGAATTCTCATATGCTGCTCAAGAAAATGAATGGTGATGTAGGATTCATAAGGCCTAACAAAATAATTGGGATAAGGCTAATAATGATTCATCCAATTATTTGGGGTTGCTTTTAGGAATCTTTACAGTTAAATAATTTTTGTTGATTATTTCATCAGGCTTTTTGATACCGGAACTAGTAGGAAAAATAGTGGAAAACATAAAAACAAACTTTCATTAAATATTGAAATAGAATTACAACATGACTCGAACGGAAATAACATTACAAACACAAACACAAACACAAACGACACAAACAATGCTCCTAAATGTATTCCAATGGGTGGTAGAAATCAGTGAGGTGGGTTGGGATGGTTAGCGGGGGGGTGGTGACGACCTCAGAGTGATGGTGGCAACGAGGGTAAGGTGCAGAACAGTAGGGACAGCAAGTGAGAAGGATTGTAGTTGGTCGACAGAGGTAGTGGGTGATTGGGAGGAGTTTGAACTGAGTTAGGAAGCCTGGAAAACAAAATAATCTGTAGAAAAGGGACCTACAGGGTGTTAGGGTGATGAAGGGAGAGTTCGGTGGCTAAGAAGTGTAGAGGAGAAGGTTTGGCAAAGGTAGAAGTGAAAGATACAATCACCATCTTGGAGAAGAATACTGGCGGAACACCACCATGTTCTCGAATACAACCCACAAAAAGTGAAATGGACTTCACACAGGAGAACTGAAGATAGCACAATCTGAATTGACACCTCACTCATCTAGGACAACAATTTATAGGCTTCGCTGGATGGAGGAAGCTTCTGCACAAAGGAAAGTGGCGAAAAAGATGAGAGGAATCCAGAAAACTCTTCTTAGAAAAGATTCGGTGCTCAAAAGCCCCTTTGGATTGTGAGAGTTTGCGATCCCTCTTTCCTGTACTCGCGTGGGTTTTCTCGCTGTCGCGGCTTCGTGTGGCTTCCCTGCTCCCGCGATGGTTCACGAGGGGCCCCGAAGCTCTGCGGGTTCTCTGACCTGCGAGATCGAAGCGCTGCTATAGGGGCGTGGTTAGTGCCCCGTGCTAGGGGCACTGTTAGTGCCCTGCTACAAGGGTGCCTATGAGTGCCCGCGTCACTTGTACTCTAATTTTCTGCAATCTTTTTGCACCACTTTTATTTATCTTTCATTTGGTTTCTCTTTTTCTTTGTAATGTTTTGACATTAGTTTTTTTCATTACTTAACTTATTGGAGTATTTTCTACTCATATTTTTACGATCTTATTTTCAATAGGTATTATTTTGATCTAATTTAATTATTTTCTCAATTAATTCTTTCTAATTTTGTTATCTATCTATCTTGAAATCTTCATTGTGCCATAATTTTTTATTAATTACTTATCTTTGATATTTTGATTAATACAATATAGCTGGTTTAAGTATAATTTATTAATATTATGTATAAGTTTTCATTTTATGATTCTCTTTTTTTATATTGCTCTCAATACACTTCTCTATTCTAACCATTCTATCATCTCTAAAGGTTTTATTCTTATCTATATCTCTAATTTTTTATATAATAGATACAAACATTAGCCTATTACTCATTTTGTTAGATAAAATTCTAGCAATATTGATTGTCAATTATCAATATCATATATTGATTCCTTTCTAGGGCTCCTAGAAGGTATATTTGAAGGGGATTGAGCGAGGATAAGGTTGTGGAAGAGCAAGGGAATGGGGATCGAAGAGGCCGATAGTGTTTAGAAGGGGCTACGAGGCAAAAACTGTTGTGGGACAGTAGATTCGGCATGGTGGGCGGCTATCTGGACTGAAAACAACAGATCAAAAGGCGACTCAGTGAGATATGGGCTGTGAGAAGTGTCCACCACCTATTCCTGAGTAAGATATTGACACACTACTTGTAAAAGAAAATTATTCAATACTCCGAAGAAAATAAATAGAGAATATTATCTCCAAAACACAAATACAATAATAAAAAATCTTCTGAAAATAAGAAATAACAAAATATAAATTTCCCTCTCAAAAAAACCTAATTCTAATTAAGATTAAATATGTGCCCATAGGGACTAGCAACTATTGCATGAGGAAGTATTTCTGCTGATTGGAAAAATTGTGGAAATCTCGTTGATCTAGCTTGCAGGATTGAGGAATCGTGGGACTGTGCTACCGCGGGACATGGTATCCTTGGAAAAGCTCTCGTAACATTCTCTCTGGGTAGGAGAGACTTCGCCCTCTTCTCTAGAGGCTTCTGGAATCGATCTACCCCATTATAACAAAGTCATCACTTTACTGTGCTTGATGTAGGCTCAATATAAAATTTATGCTCATGCCCATTCCTTGGAACCTTAAAACACATAAATCATTCCAAAGCATGTATTGATAGAATAAATAACCATTATTTTTGCACAATCGAAGCTGGAATTGCACATAGATGGGTATTCTCACGAATCAAATCTCGATTTGTTAAATCTGTAACTTATTTTTCCCACTCATCGTACTTGACTGAGTGTAGATGATAAACAAGTTTGTTTGGAGGAACTGATAATGGAGTGAAATCTATGGCATACTGAATTTTCCTTTGCCGGCAATGACTCAAGAGGTAAACTCGGTCAGGACATCTGATAACTCCCTCAACAGGAGTTGCTCCTTTTATAGTATTGACTCATTGGGCTCACTATCTTCTAGGATGTTAATATTAATTCTTTTGGAGTCTCTCTCATAGACTCAGCTTGAATCGCTGACATCTCTCCCTCATCAATTCTCCAGTCTCCTATGGGACTTCACACTTTGTTTCCTCCATTGCACCCTACTTAGTGAAATATATCACCATTCAATATGGGCAGTCAGAAGCAACATGCCCAAAATCATGACACTTGAAATACTTCTTAGTTGGGACAAATTTAGGAGTACTGGCGGTCTCCATTTTGTCTCCACTCTGAATTGATTTTTTCGCTAGCGGGGTAGACTAGAATGCCAGCGTTCGCGGGATCTATATTACATTTGGAAGAACTCTCACGTATTGGAAAAAAAACACAAAAATTCAGTCAATCTATATCGCGAGATTGCAAAAACTAGCTTTACCGAGTAGAGATCCAATCCCAATTCATCTTCCCACGTTCGTGGGATCAATTTTGCCCTGTGCGACATCTCACAATTGCAGGTTGCGATATCCTTGGAAAAGCTCTCGCATCATACATACTAAAATAGCATATTATATATTTGATTATTGTGTTACTTGTCTTGATGATACCGTTGTAAGGCTCTTAGATGGTGTTTGGGAAAGAAATTTAGCGGGGAAGTGGTTGTGGAGTGACAAGAGAATGATAATATGGGCGGTCGACCCTTTCCATTCCACAACCACATTCCCGCTATGTCTGCTTCCCAAATACCTTATAAGAGCCCTAGAACAGTATCTTCTGGTACCAGTACCCGACAAACCCCCCAAATTTTAGGGATTTTTTTCCACACGTAAACCAAAGATCCATATAACCCGACAAACCCCAAAATTCACCTAGCCTCTTAATCATAAACCTAAACCGTATCTTTTTTGTTAGAGCTTCCATTGGAAGAATGAGACGTTAGGCCGCCAAGGAGAAACCCTCAACAAGGTGTCCACGAATTTACTTTTGATGTGCAACGAGAAAATTTGTAACTACAACAGAGGCTTGCCACTTTCAATAGTAGACCATCAGGTGAGGTTACCATAACAATAACGTTGATCAAGAGGAAGTGAGTCCCTTCCATCAGACAATTTTCAATGACGATGAACCATTACCTCGACGAGTTAGCATAGAATATTAGAGGAGAAGCTAGGATCTTGGAGTAAAGGTGGATTTATTGGGTTTCAACAGTTGCGTGGATCCCGATGAGTTTATCGAGTGGCTTCAAACAGTGTAGTAAATGTTTTAGTACAAGGATGTCTCTCTGGATAAGAGTTAAATTGACAGGAAACAAGCTCAAAAAAATTGTCATTGCGGTGGGAGAACCTGAAACGTAGTCGATTGCGAGTAAGAAAGATTAGACCGTCACTTGGTTTAAAAGATGAAAAATGTGATGAAGTGCAACTTCCCTTGTATTATCGACATCTCATGTTTATAGTGCTCCATAACAGGCGTCAGAGACACTTCTGTGAATGAGTTCACAATTGACTTTGATCAAATCAAGCTGCAATTTGGGTGGAACCAAAGCACATAGTGACAAGATATCTTGGATGAAAGAGGTCATCTATCAACAATGCAGTTTAGCTACGTCCATATT